GGTGTCTGCGTCTGTGAATAATATAATATTTAATTTTTTTTTTGCCAACTGCAGCCTGGTTCTTCCCTGTTCCTCATTAACGAAGAGCTTCTTCCTTGCTTTAAGGGACTTCAGTCCTGCTTCTAGGAGCCTGATATGAACTGTCCTAGCAGTGCACTTCACACCTGCATTTAATGTTTCCCATTCCTTTTGAAAGTCACTTTGCTGTCATCCTCCGATTCATGAGACACTCCTGGACGGTCACCTCCGGCATTAGAAAGTCACTTCTGCCCTCTACCTGGCTGGTTTCTGGTCGTTCCCAGTGTCTCCTGCTGCCATACAAATGTTGAACCTGGAAGCATCCTGCTGCTCAGCGTATCCTTCTGCCAACAGAACCAGGATTAAACCAGGATTTAAAAATGCAGATTTGTTTAAAAATATAGAGCGGCTGTAGTCTAAACAGAGCGAACGTATCGTACAGCACACAAATAACTGATATCTAAAAATCAGAATGTCATACTAAAAGTCATTCAAGATTAGACTAATACTTATGTGCAGATAAATTATGTACAGTCAGACCAGAAAGCTCCCGACTGTTTGGTAAAAAGACGCGTTACGGCTGTGGATGGCCAGTGGCACACTGGGAGGGGATGTCATGGTGTCTGATGGCAGCAGCCAGGAACGATCCCCAGTAGTGTTTTTTTAGAACACCATAGTGGGATGAACTGGTGGTTAAAGGCTCTCCAGTGTAGAGCCCCCTGAAGCGAAACGGGCAGAATTGTTCGTAATATTGTCCAGTTTTGCTAACACTTATTCTCCAGTGCTGCCTCCAGTGGCTTCGGGGTCAGTGGCGTGGAGCTGACCTTCCTGATGACTTTCGTCAGGCGTTTGGCATCGCCTGGACCGAGGACATGTCCCCAGTAGGCTGCAGCGTTGAAAAGCACGCTGGCCACTACAGCTGATACAAACGCACACAGCAGCTCAGAAAGCAGACTCTGCTCTGGCTTCTCTTGTACAGTGCTGCCGTTTGTCCGTCCATCGGGTTTCCACTGAGTTCTCTGTGTTTGTATCAGATTTAGCTGTGCGTGCGCAGTGGTCTCATACTTCAGCACCCTTTGTTCCAGCTGTCAGGGGGGATCTCTCCCCTCATTGGCCACGCGGCATGGTGGCCGGCGCTGTGGGTTTGTGATTGGAAGGTCGAATCTCAGGGTCAGCAGAGTGATGTCACACTTGGGCCCTTGAGCAGGGCCCTTAACCCCGACCGCTCCAGAGCCGCTTCGCCTGCTCCTGCTCTCTCCGAACCTCAGTTGTAAGTTGCTTTTGACAAAGCATCTGCTAAACAAGTTAATTTAGCTAACAAATCAATCTGTGCTTGGAAATTGTTACGGCTTAAGGGCTAATTGAGAGAGCAGTAATAGATTCCCCTCGTCTGTTTCTCACTTTTTTGCCACCTTTTCCTTTCTGTGTTTCAGGAAGGTGCGTGTACACACACACACACACACACACACACACACACACACACACACACACAGATAACCAGTGAAGAACATTTTTTTTTGCATTTAAGAGAGATACACTGCACTATTATAAGACGGTTATAGTGGGTCACATTTACTCACTCTACACACACAGTAGATCTTTGGTATTACTGCTGATTCAGGAACCTAAAACTTTCAATGGACACCATGTGAAGACACATATGCATTAAATCTACATTTTCTTCACACAAATATTGAAGTAGTCTAAGTAAAACAGTAGCCAGGGCTAATTATGAAATATTCAATAGAGCAGTACAATCAATATAAATCAATACATTTTTGTTTCATAAATCAATATTCTTCAGTACTGTTCTCTAAAATTACAGTTTATTCTAGGTCTTGGTCCAGCCGATACTGTACATCTGTAAAACTGAATGCACTAGCTGAAGATTTGCATTAATTTTAGGGCTGCATAATTGGGAATAATTTAATGATGGTAAAACGAGGAGCTATTTTCAAACTGCAAACTATTGACTGTGGACTATGTAGTTGTTGAATAATTAACTAAAGGACTGATAAAACGTGATTAAGGCCTATAGCCTTGTGCCCTATGTGGCTTAGGATAGGATCCAGGCTCTTAGTGACCCTGTCAAGCCCAAATGGCTGGAAGAAAGATGGATGAGTAATTTTAGTCAATTGGTTAAAATGTTTAGCTGCACAAATGATCAAATTAAGGGAACATGGCTAATTTTTCATCTAGTTAAAACAATTTATAAAAGTGTTCTTTAAATCATGAGATGCATTCAATTTGTCAAACAAAATACAATTTATTCAAAAACAGACAAAGCAGGATAGAGAGCTCAGCTGCACTAAAACAACACATGTGCCAGAGGTGGAAGAAAATCTGCTGTTGGCTGATATTTAAATCAAGCTAAACTGTCATTTCCCGTTATATGGGACCCTGAACAATCACACAATCATATTTCAGACAAAAGGTTTTGATGTCTGACATAACCATAACCATTCTAACTGTAACTATAGCTACAGTTGGCTAACCCTAATTTAGGGACCTAAAATTACACCATAAATCATTGGAAATTATGGAATATGCTATTTAATTGAGTTAGCCTGTGTTTTCCTATTATATGGGGGCCAAAACCAAGGTTTTGATGCATGAAAAAGCCATAACCTTTCTAACCCTAACCCTAGCTTCAGTTGGGTAGCCCTATGCGTTGATTTATTATTGACGCTCACAGCACATACTCGTAGGCATCATGGCCACCACGCGTTTTCTGCGTTCATTTGACGTGTCGTAGGTGCACCATACGCGAGGATGTTGGCGCGACGCGTACGCGAGATGCAGTACCGCCAAAAACTGGGGTGGCAGTACGGTCACCTTTTGTCACAGGACTATGTGTTTATATATCGTAGTTAGTATTACAGTGACATGTTTTTAAGAATGAATGGCCGGAAGAACTGTATATTTTCAGAGGCAAGAGAGAAAATATTGTGAGCACTACTGTGTACAGCGTCTTCAAAATGCAATGGCATTTTAAGTTTCATGTACTAAGTACAGTGAAACTCTAACTTGAAATTCTGGGCCGGTATGCATAAAACATCCTAAGAATGGTCTTAACAATGGTCGTACACTTGGACTTAAGAGTTAAAAAAATCTTAGCAAAAAGCAGGACCTAAGAGCATTGTATAAAGCTGCTAAAAGTAACTTTCAGCAAAGTTTAAGCCCAATTCCTAAGTGCTGACGGAGCCAGCATTTAACTGTCGTGAAATGAGGACTACAAATCAAATCCCGCCCCAAATACTGAGTTCAACCAATAGAGGAGTTGCACGGTAAATATATTACTGACATTAAACCGTTAATGTAGAGCTTTATACAACATACCTTTCTGTGATCATACCTTTAATTGGTTGTACGAAAATCTACCTAGCACATCACCAATCAATTTCCACTAGTAGGTACACATGTTGTATAAATTATGGGTCAAATGCAAAACTCATAGCAAGACATTGGATTCTAAAAGAAAACCAAATTGGACGACAAACAAAACGGTTCTTTTGGCACAGTTGGTGCTTAAATGGAAGGAGGTAGTGCGAGGAAAGTTTGGCCCAGCTGTCACAAGCACGGACAAAAAAAGCAGGGTATTGCAAGCTCCGTAAATGCTGCGTCACGACGGACAAGGCGTTCAGCACAGGAATGTGAAAAAAGGTGGTATAATGTTTTATCGACCTCGCGAAAGGAAATCACAGTTTATAAAGCAAGCATGCAAGCTACAGGTTTGTGTCATTACTTATATTGCTCATATGACCCTCGCTATAATAGATAATAATAATGATAATAATAATAATTATCTTTTTCCAGTTGCCAAAAACGTAGCACCATTATCACCTTCAGTTCAACTGTAAGTGCATTTTTAGATGAGATTCTATGCGGTTCCTAATTAGGTTGGTAACAAAAAGAATGCCCTCATCATCTCATGATCGAACCTGTACCTTTTTATCAATTCATTATTGTCGTACGTCTGCAGGACGTCTTTTCTTTAACGGAAAGTACGCGGTCTCCGTCTGGGTGCGCGTAGTGCAGCTGCCATCATTCAACTCCTAACTGGCTTAGGGCTCCTCTCCAGCTCTCTTAAATAATTTAGGAGCTGAGACCAAGTCTTAACACTTAATAATGTTTATGCATACCACTTATTCTTGAGTCTGGGAGTAGGAGCAAAATTACGTCACTCTTAGAATTGTGACGCATTTAAGAGTGAAATTTTAAGTCTTATGCATACCGGCCCTGATTCTTTAGCAAGCTGTGCGATTGTAATGACCGCTCCTTTTCAGGATTATCTAGTATATGTTTAACATTATTTTAAAGTTTACCACCGCTGCTTTTGCATGAGCTCTGCATGCCCTCTTCCAGCCATTCCTAATCATTTTCACCTTTGCTGTATAAATCACTCACGAACAGACGTGTTTTTCGGAAACTGATTTATTTTGAACTATTGTTTCTTTATAAATACTACAATGCAGTGGTTAGAACACAGAGACTGCTGAGGCAGTATTAAAAAATCAGCAACTCGATCGTTGTCGAGGTAGTGACTTTACGTCACATCACGTCACAACCTCATGCAAAACAAGTGAGACCGGAAATGGAGCTGACCAAGATGGTTTCCGCACACTGCCCTCTGGTGGACATGACCTTTATTGCAGATAGACCTAGTCTTCTTGTGCAAGTACAGTCAGTACCCTGCTTGCATAGTGTACATGTCGCGTTGCGTCGCCTCGCGCGAAGTATATCGGCGGATTAATTTGGGCACTTAGGGTTACAAAACAGGCCGTTGGAAATGATGAAATCTGCTGTTAAAGCTGTGATTGTTTAAACAGCCTGTTCTAGAGCAGATTTGTATTATAATGCTTTGTATAGCACACAATCCTCTTCATAAACGCATGTATTGTTTACATCCCCATGAACAGAATGTGCAATGTGCCCCAGAAATGTTGGAAAAATGTTTTGTGGTGGTCTTGCTTCTTTCGTAGTCACGGCCCATCGCGCCTCACCTGACCTCAGCGGCGGCCGAGAACATCCTGGCCTCGGCCTGTGAGAACGAGAGCAAAAACGCGGCCAAGCGGATGCGGCTCGACAGACGACAGGTACGCGCATCGCCAGCAGGGGGCCTTCCGTGTTTCTGAGGCCCTAGTCAAAAAAGGCATTTCGGAGCACAAAGCTTCGTAACATATTTTAAAAACTAAAAAGCAAGCAAGCACAGTAAGAAGACTGTATAGCTAGCTAGCTAATCCACAGAATATGCTGCTTCATCATTTGCTAGGGTGGTTTATTTCATTTTCAGTATAGTGACTGGGGCAGCACTTAAATGGCCAGTTTGAGTGGCGGAGTGGGGGGTGTTTAAAGGACCGCAATAAACATAAGATCATCGACATCACATTTACTAGTCCATCATAGTGCGTTTCATAACTCCAGCTGCACATCTGCCATTTGCATTTACTGGCCAAAGCAATGCTGCCCTTTTCATGTGTTTATAGACAAATATTACACACCTTTATATAAACGAAAAAACAGTGCAGACACACCTGCAGTTCTTGGAGATGTTTTATATTGTTTTTTCATTTTCCTCAACACACATTGCTATTATTTGGCATAAATGTCAGGGCAATATCACTTTAGCATCTGGATTAGCCACCTGCTGAAACACAATAGGTTTTAGTTGTTGCTACTGCATGATATGATCCTCAAGGAGGAATTAAATACTGAGTAAACAGGTAACCAAGCTATGAGCTTATATGGAAGAAGGCTGAGCCAGGTGCTTGTCTTCTTGCCTGTTTATTTGTGAGAACACTTTTCCAGTGCTCAGTGTATAAAGAGGAATCAGGGCTCTTAACATTAGGAATGTTTTAATTAAAGCAATTCACTCCCCATAACATGGGAATCAGACCTGTATTGCATGCGCATGTGTCAAATTTTGCAGGACAAAGCCTAGCTTTTTAAAAACAAACAAAAATGCAGTTAAAATATTATACATAAAATAAAATCTTAAATCTTAATTGTGGGCCATGAAATCGCAATCCCTGCCTACTGTTCTGTACATTTAGCTTTTAAACAATACTTTATAAAGAAATACAAAATAAAATGGGAATAAAATGCAAAATAAAATGGGAATAAAATGCAAACTAAAACATGGAGCACAGAATGACTGTTTGAATTAAGATGCCAGTATTTTAATTGTTTCCATCATTACTGTTTCATGCTAAGGGTGAATAAGAATAACACGCGTGTTAGTTAAATCGTTTACAAAAGTCAGTTTATTTGAAATTCTCATGTGGTTCGTATACTTTATATTGTCCATATGAGGAGTCACTTGGAAGCTGAGTGCATGGGTGATATGCTTATGGTCCTGTGGGTGGATATTTTGTTTTCTACACTAGTGGGAGCAGTGATATTTCTTGTATGTCTCACTGGGAAGTGCTTTTTAGATCATCCAGAGCAGGTATTTAAATGCACTGTAATGGAACATGCGAGACGAGGGTCAGGAAACTAAACCATGACACTCAAGAAACTAAAATGTTAATGATCTTTACATTATAGTCTTATAACAGATCTTAACGCAAATTCTTATGTACTTCTCAGTGTGAAATCCTTTGAATTTGGGTTAATGTCTCCAAATTGCCTGTAGTGTGTGATAGATGGCCAGCGAGTCCATGGGACTCCCAGCTCCGTATTTCCTGCCATGGGCACTGGGCTCATTGCCCCCCCAATGGTGGAGAGGCATTATGCAGAATGGATAAGAATAATCAGATTTGAACTTTCATTACCTGATATAAGCTTTCATAATACTGAGCACTCAAAACAAGTCAATTCATCTATCAACTCAAATCATACGCAAGAGGATAAACTGGAAAACACTTTTGTCTGTCTAGTGTAGTACGAGTATTATTACAATCATCATTTTCTAGGACCTGGATGGGTTCAGTTTAAATTAGCAAAATTTTAGTATTACAGACAAGGTGATGGAGTCATTCATTTTTAAACTGCCCACGATTATAATGGTAGAGAAACATCGAAGGTTTCTAACATCACTTTGCTTCATGCTAATGCTTTAATCTTGAATATTAGCAGATGTATTATGAATGCTACAGCAAGTCATAATATTAATTTGAGTGTGTAAAGTTATCTTAATGGATTACAGGGTGTTTGCGTTCTTATATTAAAGCATCCAAAAGGTATTATCTTGTAATATGTGACAGAACATAAAGTGGAAAGTGAAATATTGCCTTATGGTATTGTGTACTAGACACAATGAAATCAAAATGAATACATGTATTATTAATATAATCATCCCATTAATCTCGACTGTGTTCTTTGTCAGAGTTGCTTTTTAAATTCCCAGCCCTCAGTAATGGTAATGCGTGTGCGAAGGTAATCAGGAACACCTTTTTATCTATTTACTACTTTCCCATACATAGTTAACACTGTGTGTACAGTATATAAAAATAAAAATAAAGTACATGGGAAAGGATTTTGTTGAAAAAAAGAGAAAATTTAGAATTTATTTTGCATATTAAAAGACAATATGAATATGCTGCAAATAAAGTCTGCGAATGATATGTTTATTCATGTTTCATTCAACTGGCTGACTTGCCTCTCCCTCTCTGATCACTTCAGTTTTAAACTTCCATTTAAAACATCATTTAACTGAAGAGCCCTCCTCCTTATTTCATGCTGAATGTCAGACCATTTATGTCCATATTCTTCTATTTTGAATATGATCATTTTATCCAATTGTGGGATGTTAGGCTGACACAGTCTAACCTCTCTCCAAATACCATACTTCCACACTACGTGAAATTACTTCATGAGTGGCCATTTATTTGATATGTTTAATAATATCATTAGTTCAGTCATACTTGGCATTTTACCGCGATGACATTATCAGGTTAGTACTAGGCAAGTGTGTCATGATTAAAATATGGCTCCATAACCCTTGCATAACGTATGCTCCTAATGTAAAAAATGTCATATTACCACAGCCTTCTGTATGTTAGATATGCAGGGGACTGATCAAGCCCGTTCCTATAGCTAACACAGATATAATCTCTTGGACTCCTCAAACCTGCTAGCAAAGAACTTCTCATTCATCGGCTATAGGATAACATTCTCAGTACAGAGAAGGGTTGAGAGTTATCCAAAGGGAGACATACAGTACTGTAGAGCATGATTTCTGACCTCCATTATTCATTGGCATAGGAACCCCCCAATACCTGCCTGATATACACCGTTCACTATACTGCACTGGTGTTCTGACACGTGTCCCCATTCAGCTTCAACTTTGGGTCATAATGCTATCACCGCCATGAGACTGAATTTCAAGAAAATAAAACTTTATTAACAAATTTCAAAAACAAGAACACAAACAGTGGGAAATGTATATACCCCAAACGTGCAGTGCCAGGTCATTTGCAAGTCCAGCTTTTCTTCTTTGACAAACTGGTACCCAGTGCTGCCGGCACTGAGGCAGCTGACCTTGACCTACATGAGCCTTGAGCCTTGCTTGCCTGTCAGCGACTGGAGCAGTCTGGTTTTACGCCTAAGAAGTCTACCATCGAGCGTATCCTTACACTCAGGGTTCTCATCGAGCGCAAGTGCGAATATCGGCAGAGGTTCTTTGCAGCCTTTGTTGTTTTTCGTAAAGTGTTCGACTCAGTTGATCGAGTCGCCCTGTGGGACATGGTGAGACTTCGCGGGATCCCCCTGAAGTTGCTGGACGTCATGGCCGGCCTGTACACTGGTACTGTGAGTGCTGTGCAGACTGGAGACAGAACCTCTGTGTTGGGGGCAGTGGTGTCGTAATGGTTAGGGAAGTGTACTTGTAATTGAATGATTGCTGGTTCGAATCCCCGACCAGCAAGGCACCACTGAGGTACCCTGAGCAAGGTACCGCCCCCAAGCACTGCTCCCCGGGCGCTGAATTAGCTGCCCCCTGCTATGTCACAATGTCACATATGGGTTAAATGCTGAAGACACACTTCATTGTTGTGTGTCAACAATGATCACTAAATTCTTCCCAGTAGATTCTGGGGTTCCCCAGTGGTGTGTTCTTGCTCCTACTCTGTTCAATGCTTGTATGGACTGGGTGTTGAGCAGGGTTGTGGGGTCCACTGGCTGTGGGGCATCTTTGGTGAAGAATGATTCACTGATCTTGACTTTGCCAACAGTACTGTGATCTTCGTTTGGTCAATGGAGGCTCAAATCAGGCTCTCGAGAGACGGTGCGAGGAGTCTGAGTGTCTGGGATTGCAGGTGTCCTGGATAAAGACCAAGATCCAGGCATTTAATGACTTCTTGGGCACAGCCATCAGTAGTGTGTCTGTCTGAGGGGAGAATGTCGACCTTGTCGAGAGACTTATTTACCTCGGCAGCGACATTCATGTCTCTGGTGACTCTTCCTATGAAGTCAGCAGACGGATTGGGAGAGCATGGGGGGTCATGAGGTCACCGGAAAGGGGTGTGTGGTGCTTCTGATATCTTTGCAAGAGGATGAAGGTCCAAGTCTTTAGAGTCCTGGTGCTCCCTGTCTTGCTGTATCACTGTGAGACATGGACGCTATCCAGTGAGCTGAGACGAAGACTGGACTCCTTCGGTACTGTGTCTATTCGGAGAATCCTTGAGTACCTCTGGTTTAACTTTGTGTCAAATGAGCGGTTGTGAGAGGAGTCCTGAATGAAGCACATTAGCTGCATTGTGAGGGAGCGTCAGTTACGGCACTACGGCCATGTGGCGCGTTTCCCTGAGGGTGATCCGGCTCGCAGGATCCTCACTGCTGAGGACCTAAGTGGCTGAACCGGGCCGAGGGGACGCCCACGTAACACCTGGCTGTGGCAGATGGACGGCCATTTCCGGAGGGTGGGACTGGACCGTGTCTCTGCGTGGGGGATCGTCGGCCGGGATCCCGAGGAGTTTCGCCGTGTGGTGGGTGCGGCAACACGCTGCATCAGCGCATGATCCCCAACCTGACTGAACTGACCTGATATTAATGCATTTTCAAGGTAGCTGGTATGTTAAAATGATTTAGGCCTACTTCATCTCTGTTTGATGTAAAAGCACAGTAGCTTTTGTTCTCAGTTCTATTTTCAATTGAATTCCTCTGCATTCATTATTTTACATATATTATTCTCCAGACCATTCTCGGGCTACTGCATGATTATTCCATTTATTATTGAATGATTTTCCATCTTTGTTTTGGCTACTCTGTTCTTACTTCAGCTTTATTTTCTTTACACACTGCCTCTGTGTGGTTGCTCTTCCCGTAATAGTTGATACTTTAAGAATTCTTTAATAATACTTTGTATCTTTGAACCACTATTTTAAAATGGCTTCAGTCATTTCAATGTTTCAACCACAAATGTATCCCATAAGGTGAGCAACAGCATTGCTAAACAGGCAGTTCTTTTAAACTTGTTTTTCATGTTATGCTACCTCCTCCAGATTTCATTTGTGAAATCACTCTGAAATCACAAAAACATGGCACTAAGGCACTATTATCATCTCATCGCAGGTTTTGAGCTGGTCTCTCTGGTGCAAAGCTAAATACATACAAGCCATTAAACCTTGTACACATTCTTCTCTTTTTTTTATTGCTCACCTCCACAATATTGCAGAGTTTACAGAGGTTGGTGTGTGGAATAAAAAATACATGCATTTCTGAGGGAGAAAACACCCTTTTAATGAGAGCGGCCAGGCCTGGAAAAGACCTGACTTGTTAAAGCTAGCAAAAATGCCACGGACTGAACTCCATAAGGGAAGTTGCCAGCACCTTGACTTCAAGAATTCAGGCTGTGCTGCAGACAAAATGGGTCCTTCCCTGTAGTTGGCAGGTGCACTTAGTGAAGTGTGTATATCGTCAGACAGTAACAGCTTGTGCGCATTTATCTGTAAGCCTTGTCTGTTGTTTACTTCAGCGGTTACATTAATGTTGTTAGTAATATTAGTTACATTTTAGAGGTACAATCAAAACGAAATATTTGTCAAACAGACATATCAACACACTAAATCAATATATTAAAAAATCTACATCAACATATGATTAAAAAAAAAACATAATAGAGATATATGACGTGGGAATGAGAGAAATCATGTTTCTAAAAATGTTTTGTTATGTGTCATGACCAATGTTAAGAGATATCTTTCGAATGATTTTCGAGATTTCATTCAATTGATTCCTTTCAAATGATTTAAAAATGATTTTTATCTGTGATCATCTGCAAAAACATAGAGACTAATCTCAATTGTAAAAACATGAATGAATCTTGTATATTTCAGACTTAAATATGTGCATTATAGGAAGCAGAATGTAGCCTACAATCTGTACATCCACGTCTGCTCCACCTTGGCTATTGAATGTGTAATGAGCCACTCATAGCTGGTGACCAATAAGCTGTCTGAATGATTTATACAGCTTTAGTATCCTTTGACAAGTTAGTCCTTTTTGTCCTTTAGAAACAAGTATGCCTAATGAAAGAGATATTCTTATAGCTAGACCTCTGTACCAGAACGGCGAAACTGTGTAATGAACTGCAGGCCATTTCAATGTAATTTAAAATAAATCACATAAGCAGAACAAAAGAAGGGAGGGCAGGAAGATGAAGTGATGTGTTTCAATCTTGGCTAAAGCCTATTTCTTTCCTTCGCTTATGTTTGTTGCCTGCACTTGACTGTCTGGCAATCAGGATGTGAAAGATTAGCTTAGATGTGGACATTGATGTGCAGCTCTGTAGTTGTACAGCTTTACCCAGGTTTTACTTTGTGAGTCAGTGGCCACTAACTGGACGGAGTGTCACAACCCATAGATACCTTGTGAACCAGTCAACCGAGGCACACTGTCACTGATTTACCCCCCCCCCCCCCCCCACATACAGACACACACACACCCCCCACAGCAAAACTTCACTTCTACCAAAGGGTTCGGGCCCCCATGAGGGAATGATGCAGCCTAGATTCGATCCAAAGAAGGGCCGGGCTTCCTCACAGGAAGGTCGCGCATTTCTCTCAGCCACAAAGGCAACCTTGAGGAAAAGTGAACTGTGAATGTTATAACCCAAATGTTACATAATTCATATCAGAAATTTCTATGGGCATTTGCTGTGTCCTATCAGTCGGAGAAGCAGAGTTTCGCCATTAAAACTGCCGTCCGCATCTCCTGCTCGGCTGATGGGTTCGGGGTCTCGGCGCAGCCGGAATCGGGGACTCTGTTTGCTCCTGTTCTTGATCGTCTCTCCTCTCCTGGCAGGACGAAGCTGTCTCCCCCGATAAAGGCGAAGCTGCTCTGCTCTCCGCCCCGGCGTCCGCGGCTCCAGCTGCACAGGAGGTGCTGTACATCAATGGTAATGGAGCCTACAGTTGCCATAGTTACGGCGGGGTAGGGGGAGGCCTGCTGGACCTCACTGAAGCTGCTAGCAGTGGTGAGTCCACCCCTCGGCACCATGGGAACCAGCCAGCCTGGGATGGCCTTTACACGCTGCTAGACTTCACCCCCAAGGGCCTGGTCCCAATGCCTGCTTATCATGTTAAATCATATGACTGGCACACAAAGGGTAGTCAAAGCTGGTGCTGTAACCATGGCGACCCCAATGTGTGTCAGCTTCTGGAGTCGCAGCAGCTGCGGAATCCGCTTCTGGGGCTTCTCCGCGAGAAAGCCTCACGCAGCTTCTCTGCGCGGCTCGCAGCTGCCGCGCTCGGAAAGGATATTAGCGGCTCGTTACCGACCTTCAGAAATCCCAAAGTGTTTTTTAAAATACCAGAGAGCTAATTTCACGTCGCCCGGCGTCAAGATGGAGTGTGACATTACGCGGTGCAGAGACTGCAAATAATTTACATTAAATAGAAAGCGATCAGCTATCACTGTAATGGCATATGGTCCTTAAGCAGATACACTTTTACAGCATTTTTATACAGGATAACAAGAAATTTAAAAATCACTTTTATTAAATATTTACAATTATTCTAGTGATCAATTAAACAGAACAGGGAATACAAGCATTACTCGTCTATTTAAAAAGATTTTGCCTTCACCCCATAAAGAGGGTAATTCCCAGAATATACACTGGAGGGAGCTGTAGAATAGTACATTTCAATACAGTATTTAGGAAAGGAAGAAAATGCACATGCTCTTCCAGAATAACAAATCCTTTTTATCTTAGGATACCTCTACCAACGTAGAGAGGTCTACCAGCTGTAGAGAGGTCTACCAACGTAGAGAGGTCTACATAGTAAGAATGGCTAGATTTGAAGTGCTAAAGAAGCATCCAAAAGAATTTGAGATAAGATCATAATGAAATCGTGTAACCTAGATCAAAGATCTCTTTTGCGTTTAATGTTCTGCACTGGCTGTAGACAAGCAGGCACAAAGAAGTGAATGGACTTGTGAGTATGACAGTATAGTCAGTAATTAAATAAAGGTGATGCAGGGGTAGATAATGACTTTCGCACTAGTGTTTGTGGTTATAAAATACACGAGGGCCATTGCTTTTGTACTTAATCAGTTCAATTCACTTTACATAGAGTCTTCCACAACGTATTTTCCCCAAGGCACTTAACAGGAGTGTGTGGAAATACATTTTTAGTAGTAAATACTAAATGGTTCATGATACGGGGGGGAAAGGAAGAAGGAAAAATGCCAGAAGACAACAGTGCAGAGGAACAAAAAGCTCCACAGTAAGGAGGGAAAAAAAACCTCAGCGGGGGCAAGGTCGACTGGCTGCCCCCGCCCCCGCCCCCGGGCATGCTCAGATTATAGAATGCAAATAGTAGAATCAAAGTACTCAGTCATTACCAGAGTAAGCATTCAGCATTGTAAATGGGCAGAGTGTAACGTTGCCAGGTAATTAAGTCATTCTAGATTAGAGTGTTTGATAACTGTATAAATATCGCTTTAGAGGAGACTGATGCAGATGCACAAGAAGGAATCATGCTGCTGAACACGAGGCAGAGCCCATACAGATACTGCTGACCAAAATGTCGTGTTTTCTGACATTAGGTTCTGAGTGTAGGGACCATTCCTAACTGACTGTGTGAGGCAGGGCTGCCTGTCTGCTTACATTCTGTGTGAAGCATTCTGCAACGTACAAGAAGCATGGAAGTCCAAAAAAAGCTTAACTGAAATTTGTGTTATTTTGAACATTTCTCGTGTGCTGTTCCATTATCATAAAAAGCTCAGTTTTATCCCACTTTCTAGCTGAATATGCTTTCTGTTCTGCCCTAACAGGATGCGGATTTTTAGTCCTATTTTCTTCTCCGATCAGTGCGTTCTGATTTAAGGCTCTGACTTTTTTCCATTAAAAAAGAAAAACCCATAGCAGTAATAAAAATGTCAGATTTATATGTAAACCAAAAGACCAGCCATACAGTCATTTCCTTTAGATTATAGAGCACAACACAGCAGGTAACTTGTGTTTTTTTTTTTTGAAAAAGCAGTCCTTTGAAATGAATTACTGCAAGCTGATCTGACAAACTGTTTCCGTTGTATAGAAACAGCAGGGGTGTCTATGTGTTCAAGGCATTTTTGAAGTGAAAGTTGTGTGAACATGGTGCCTCAGAGAGTAGCCTTCTTGATTTAGGTCAGTGTTTCTCAACTCGCTCCACGGGGACCCCTAGACATCCACGTTTTTGCTCCCTGCCAGATAATTCACATTCTTGCTCCCTCCCAGATCCCAGTAGGTGGACTGTTTGGGGGTTTCTGAGGGCCGGGTTGGGAAACACTGATTTAGGTTATGGGGTTCAGACTCTGCTTATCCTGTGGTTGTGTTTGCATTTATGGAGTTAGCATGTTCTTTGTGTGTATAGTTTCCTCTGTAGTCTGATTTCATCACACTGTCCAAAAACATGCCGTTCGGTGGATCAGTATCCCTAAATTGCCCACAGCATGTGATTTTATGTATAGGCTGTTTGTGTATGTGTGTCCTGTTCTCCTGCTCTGTTGACTGTATGGACTGGCATCCCGTCCAGGGTGTCCCCCTGCCCTGTGCCCTGTGATGGACTGGCATCCCATCCAGAGTGTCCCCTTGCCCTGTGCCCTGTGATAGAGGCATCCCGTCCAGGGTGTCCCCCTGCCCTGTGCCCTGTGATGGACTGGCATCCCATCCAGGGTGTCCCCCTGCCCTGTGCCCTGTGATGGACTGGCATCCCATCCAGAGTGTCCCCTTGCCCTGTGCCCTGTGATAGACTGGCATCCCATCCAGGGTGTCCCCCTGCCCTGTGCCCTGTGATAGACTGGCATCCCATCCAAAGTGTCCCCCTGCCCTGTGCCCTGTGATAGACTGGCATCCCATCCAAAGTGTCCCCCTGCCCTGTGCCCTGTGATAGACTGGCATCCCATCCAGGGTGTCCCCCTGCCCTGTGATAGACTGGCATCCCATCCAGGGTGTCCCCTTGCCCTGTGCCCTGTGATAGACTGGCATCCCATCCAGGGTGTCCCTCTGCCCTGTGATAGACTGGCATCCCGTCCAGGGTGTCCCCTGCCCTGTGTCCTGTGATATACTGGCATCCCGTCCAGGGTGTCCCCCTGCCCTGTGCCCTGTGATGGATTGGCATCCTGTCCAGGGTGTCCCCCTGCCCTGTGTCCTGTGATAGACTGGCATCCNTGGCATCCTGTCCAGGGTGTCCCCCTGCCCTGTGTCCTGTGATAGACTGGCATCCTGTCCAGGGTGTCCCCCTGCCCTGTGCCCTGTGATAGACTGGCATCCTGTCCAGGGTGTCCCCCTGCCCTGTGCCCTGTGATAGACTGGCATCCCGTCCAGGGTGTCCCCCTGCCCTGTGTCCTGTGATAGACTGGCATCCCGTCCAGGGTGTCCCCCTGCCCTGTGTCCTGTGATAGACTGGCATCCCGTCCAGGGTGTCCCCTTGCCCTGTGCCCTGTGATGGACTGGCATCCCGTCCAGGGTGTCCCCCTGCCCTGTGCCCTGTGATGGACTGGCATCCCGTCCAGGGTGTCCCCTGCCCTGTGCCCTGTGATGGACTGGCATCCCGTCCAGGGTGTCCCCTGCCCTGTGCCCTGTGATGGACTGGCATCCCGTCCAGGGATTTGATTTCTTTTTTCATCACTGACGTGGTATTTCATTTTTCTCATGTTGTATTTTGTATGCATGTCAAATATACACTGACCTGCATTAGATGTTAAGCTACCACACATCACACAAGCATGCTTGATAAATTCTGTGTATACATTTATAATCAGAGTTGAGTAATTCAGGTCTAGAAAGTAAAAGTCCAGACCAAGATTTTGCTTCAATCAACCAGTTGAGCATAAAGAGTCACAGTCACACAGTACTCAACTGGTTGGTTGAAACAAAATCCCAGTCTGGACTTTTATTCTCTGGACCTGAATTACCCAACTCTGTTCATAATTATCTAAATAATGCATCCAGCATGCTCCAAACTTATTTGAAATCTATATCAAATATCGTGAAACGTTATGAAATGTTTAAGGAAGGTCAAATGAGATCTCGATACCCAGAGAATAATGTTTTTACGACAAAATAAATAAAATTGTGAGTTAAAAGAATAAGCTTAATCTTTGTATGCAATGATCTTTGATGCAAATTTTTAACATAACACATTTAGCAGTCGTTTTTGTCCAAAGTTATGTAAATGTGAGACAAATAGCACAAAATAAAATGAATGTATGCATCTAAAAATGAGAAACGAAAAAAAAAAATTGAAAATCTGGAAATTGAAAACTTTAAATTAGAAAAAAATGGTAAAATTTCATTGGGGACTTTCAGAGCCAAAATATACAGGAAAGACTGGCTCATGCCTCATAAACACAATCCAAACTCTGAGAATGAGTTGAGTGTGAATGTTGTGAGCACTTATTCTTGCAAGAACCCATAGACTGGTGTTGTTCCCCTGCAGGACCTACGGATCTGAGTATGAAGAAGCAGCAGAGCTCCAGTGGCAGTGGAACCGCGCGACCCCAGCTCAACCCCACCGAGGTCAACGCCGTCCGACAGCTTATCGCAGGTTACCGAGAGTCCGCCGCCTTCTTGCTTCGCTCAGCTGATGAACTGGAGAGCATCCTCCTGCAGCAGAACTGAAGATTCTGGGAGCTTGTCTGCGAAGTACAAGTATCTCTGACGCGCCCCCCCCGGCCCACCATTTTTTTTGACCATCGTCGTATTTCTATGCTGTCTTGTTAGTAACTGGTTCTTTGGTTCGGATTCTTGACATTTTTTACCAGCTATAGTAACCCAAACTCTGTTGGCGTTGTAGTGTCTTACACACTTCTGGGGCTCTACAAACCCAGAACTTTGGCACATCATCAGGTGACTTAACCAATCAAAGTTTTTTTTCTCGGATTTTGGATTTTTCTTTGATTGGGGAGGGGTTGTTACAAGGATGTGATTTTAAATGATATGCACGTGCAATATTTTTCAAGGGTGCTACTGATTGTTTTCTTAATCTAGTACGTGGATTTGCAAAACTTTTATAATAGGGTGTATTATTGTGTTATTGAATATGTTGTGATTGTTTGGGACCAACTTTGTGAAAACCAACTGTTTACTATCTCCTCTTGGGAGCACTAGCTTGTGTGACCGAGCCTGGATTTTCTTTTCAGTTTTCCTGATATATTATTTGCTAATGGCACTGCATGAATGGGACATCAGATTGAACAAATCATCCAGATTTTAAATATGTACATTTGCAAACTTGTAAATACGTTGTGAGAGGTCATGAGGGGTATCACTTAGTGTTCCACGTTCTCCAGTAGGTCCTAAAAGGTCCAAACTGTCCACAACAGCAAAAAAAAAGACATCAAAAGAATTAGGGCGGTTTATGTTTATTGATTAGGTTTTCAGATATTACAAGCCCAAGCCTCACCACCACTTTACGAGCACAACAGCACATAGTAGCTAGACGCTAAGCAGGTAAGCCTCAGTGTCAACGATAGTAAACAAGGAATTGATGCTGTGCTCTATGTATAACTGGCATCATGCTACGTTGCCGTGTCAGTACTCCAGTAAAGAGTAACAATGAGGAGAGGCTATCACTGGATGTCAGAAGATGTGCTACAGGCCCTTCTAAGTCCTTACTCCAGCTCTACACGCATCACACACTCGGGACTGTTCTTTTACACGTAAATATGGAGTCTGTGTGTGTTATTCTACAGGTCCAATACTGAGCTTGCTCTGTGATTTGCTGCTGTTTATTTATTTATTTATTTTTTATGATTTTTGTGTTTCTTGGCACCATTTCAGTGTTTCCTGTGGGATGTAAATTAGTGAATGTTGCAAGATTGCAATTGACAATCTGAGACCTTTGCACTCCTCTATATTTTTCAATTACAAACTGCAATTGAATTGAGGCTGGCTGATGCTTTTTGAGTAATTTATATTGTTTCCACAGTATAATAGATTCAGACTTGTTGCAATTGGATGCAGTTCTCAGTTTTTGTAGATGTTTATGGGCTGTAACATATTTTTATACGGTTTAAGTATATATATAAATATATATTAGCATTGATATTTGGGTTGAGTTTTGTTCGGCTCACTAGAAAGATGTAATATGTTGTGAAAGTATTTTTTGTTCTGCTTTTGGTGATAAAGAGTTCATCCATTGGGGATTTGATTTTTATTGTGACGTTATGTAAATGATTGTATGTGCATATGAAATTTGCCTTATTACATGTAAAATTTTATTTAATTTTTGTATTAAAACTAATGTTGTTTATGTAAATATAAATATTGCTGTTCCGTTTAATTCAGACTATGATTGTGACCAGGTAATGTGCACTTTCTATTGTAATAGTATACATATTGCTGCATTTTCTAGTGTCTTTCATATTTGTTGCTTAAATGAGAATCTTTGTGATACTGTCAGTTGTAAATGTGGAAAGTAAAAAGATTGATGTGGTTAAATTTTCAATAAATGTGTCTGTATTTTCCTTTTTATAAGCTACATCACAAGATTATAAGTGGATTGATACATAGCGGCATGGAACAGATTACCATGTAGTCATCATATTACACACCTTCGTCTCAAAATTCCCTGAGCTTTGCTAAAATCTCATAGTGCAGCTCCTCACTGGCATGTGACATCTCCTCTGCCTTGCTTACTCCAAAAATTTCTGCCCATGCATTATTTATGCCGAGCTAAACTTTCTTGTATATCTCCCACGGTTGGGATTTTGCAGGAGCTCCAGAGAACACTGCCAGCACTATCGCATGCAGACGGTCTGTCACAGAGTCGCCTTTGTTTTGTGTTTCATTGTGCAGTTGTCCCAGTGTAGACACTGCACAAATTCATGTTAATCCCTCTCTTCTTCTCCTTATGTATTCTTTATTCTCGATGATGATAATAATAATAGGTATTATGAAGCATATAAAGCATAGCATACAATGTTTGCCAAAACCAGATGAAAGTCAATGCATTTTATGAGTTTATGGCCCTTTTAATTTGTTACAATTATTTCTAAATGTTCTTTCGATCAATTAAAAAGTTGATCAACCATTATTATAACAAATAATTGATTACCTAATTAAATAATTCTAACAATGAAATGTTAAATAGGTTTCAAATGCCTGCTTTATTAGCCTTTAAAGGACTGCAAATTAAAATGTAAAAAAAAAACAGGCATCCCCTTTATATATGACATTAAGCTCACCTGATGAATTTGGTGACACAGCAAAGCCCTCAGATGTGTTAACCTCTACCTTCATCCATACAGCCTCTGTACTGCTTTCTTCTTCATGATGTCACTACCTGGCCAGGATTTTGTTTATGTATGTGCTTTATGCACAACTTGACCTTTTCTGCTCTGTTATAGCTAGCAGAGATGAGTATCACCAGCTCAGTGCATTACGTTCATTAGCTTTCTGTTTGTAGTTTGCATGCTGGTGACTCACAGGCTTGGCAGTTACCTTCAGTGCATGTATACCTTGCATGTTCTTCCCATATTATGTGGCTTCCCCTGTTGCAGCTTCAGTGAGCCTCACAGGCAGAGGTGGAGAGTTCAGGTTCAAATCTTGGTTTGCATTCGTACTTTCTGAGCCTGAACTTTCCACCTCTGCTCAGTAGGGTCTGTAAATTGCCCGTGGCACATGTGTGTCTATGTAGCCTTTGACTAACGGGCATCCTTCCTTCTGNCATCCCATCCAGGGTGTCCCCCTGCCCTGTGCCCTGTGATAGACTGGCATCCCATCCAGGGTGTCCCCCTGCCCTGTGCCCTGTGATGGACTGGCATCCCGTCCAGGGTGTCCCCTGCCCTGTGCCCTGTGATGGACTGGCATCCCGTCCAGGGTGTCCCCTGCCCTGTGCCCTGTGATGGACTGGCATCCCGTCCAGGGATTTGATTTCTTTTTTCATCACTGACGTGGTATTTCATTTTTCTCATGTTGTATTTTGTATGCATGTCAAATATACACTGACCTGCATTAGATGTTAAGCTACCACACATCACACAAGCATGCTTGATAAATTCTGTGTATACATTTATAATCAGAGTTGAGTAATTCAGGTCTAGAAAGTAAAAGTCCAGACCAAGATTTTGCTTCAATCAACCAGTTGAGCATAAAGAGTCACAGTCACACAGTACTCAACTGGTTGGTTGAAACAAAATCCCAGTCTGGACTTTTATTCTCTGGACCTGAATTACCCAACTCTGTTCATAATTATCTAAATAATGCATCCAGCATGCTCCAAACTTATTTGAAATCTATATCAAATATCGTGAAACGTTATGAAATGTTTAAGGAAGGTCAAATGAGATCTCGATACCCAGAGAATAATGTTTTTACGACAAAATAAATAAAATTGTGAGTTAAAAGAATAAGCTTAATCTTTGTATGCAATGATCTTTGATGCAAATTTTTAACATAACACATTTAGCAGTCGTTTTTGTCCAAAGTTATGTAAATGTGAGACAAATAGCACAAAATAAAATGAATGTATGCATCTAAAAATGAGAAACGAAAAAAAAAAATTGAAAATCTGGAAATTGAAAACTTTAAATTAGAAAAAAATGGTAAAATTTCATTGGGGACTTTCAGAGCCAAAATATACAGGAAAGACTGGCTCATGCCTCATAAACACAATCCAAACTCTGAGAATGAGTTGAGTGTGAATGTTGTGAGCACTTATTCTTGCAAGAACCCATAGACTGGTGTTGTTCCCCTGCAGGACCTACGGATCTGAGTATGAAGAAGCAGCAGAGCTCCAGTGGCAGTGGAACCGCGCGACCCCAGCTCAACCCCACCGAGGTCAACGCCGTCCGACAGCTTATCGCAGGTTACCGAGAGTCCGCCGCCTTCTTGCTTCGCTCAGCTGATGAACTGGAGAGCATCCTCCTGCAGCAGAACTGAAGATTCTGGGAGCTTGTCTGCGAAGTACAAGTATCTCTGACGCGCCCCCCCCGGCCCACCATTTTTTTTGACCATCGTCGTATTTCTATGCTGTCTTGTTAGTAACTGGTTCTTTGGTTCGGATTCTTGACATTTTTTACCAGCTATAGTAACCCAAACTCTGTTGGCGTTGTAGTGTCTTACACACTTCTGGGGCTCTACAAACCCAGAACTTTGGCACATCATCAGGTGACTTAACCAATCAAAGTTTTTTTTCTCGGATTTTGGATTTTTCTTTGATTGGGGAGGGGTTGTTACAAGGATGTGATTTTAAATGATATGCACGTGCAATATTTTTCAAGGGTGCTACTGATTGTTTTCTTAATCTAGTACGTGGATTTGCAAAACTTTTATAATAGGGTGTATTATTGTGTTATTGAATATGTTGTGATTGTTTGGGACCAACTTTGTGAAAACCAACTGTTTACTATCTCCTCTTGGGAGCACTAGCTTGTGTGACCGAGCCTGGATTTTCTTTTCAGTTTTCCTGATATATTATTTGCTAATGGCACTGCATGAATGGGACATCAGATTGAACAAATCATCCAGATTTTAAATATGTACATTTGCAAACTTGTAAATACGTTGTGAGAGGTCATGAGGGGTATCACTTAGTGTTCCACGTTCTCCAGTAGGTCCTAAAAGGTCCAAACTGTCCACAACAGCAAAAAAAAAGACATCAAAAGAATTAGGGCGGTTTATGTTTATTGATTAGGTTTTCAGATATTACAAGCCCAAGCCTCACCACCACTTTACGAGCACAACAGCACATAGTAGCTAGACGCTAAGCAGGTAAGCCTCAGTGTCAACGATAGTAAACAAGGAATTGATGCTGTGCTCTATGTATAACTGGCATCATGCTACGTTGCCGTGTCAGTACTCCAGTAAAGAGTAACAATGAGGAGAGGCTATCACTGGATGTCAGAAGATGTGCTACAGGCCCTTCTAAGTCCTTACTCCAGCTCTACACGCATCACACACTCGGGACTGTTCTTTTACACGTAAATATGGAGTCTGTGTGTGTTATTCTACAGGTCCAATACTGAGCTTGCTCTGTGATTTGCTGCTGTTTATTTATTTATTTATTTTTTATGATTTTTGTGTTTCTTGGCACCATTTCAGTGTTTCCTGTGGGATGTAAATTAGTGAATGTTGCAAGATTGCAATTGACAATCTGAGACCTTTGCACTCCTCTATATTTTTCAATTACAAACTGCAATTGAATTGAGGCTGGCTGATGCTTTTTGAGTAATTTATATTGTTTCCACAGTATAATAGATTCAGACTTGTTGCAATTGGATGCAGTTCTCAGTTTTTGTAGATGTTTATGGGCTGTAACATATTTTTATACGGTTTAAGTATATATATAAATATATATTAGCATTGATATTTGGGTTGAGTTTTGTTCGGCTCACTAGAAAGATGTAATATGTTGTGAAAGTATTTTTTGTTCTGCTTTTGGTGATAAAGAGTTCATCCATTGGGGATTTGATTTTTATTGTGACGTTATGTAAATGATTGTATGTGCATATGAAATTTGCCTTATTACATGTAAAATTTTATTTAATTTTTGTATTAAAACTAATGTTGTTTATGTAAATATAAATATTGCTGTTCCGTTTAATTCAGACTATGATTGTGACCAGGTAATGTGCACTTTCTATTGTAATAGTATACATATTGCTGCATTTTCTAGTGTCTTTCATATTTGTTGCTTAAATGAGAATCTTTGTGATACTGTCAGTTGTAAATGTGGAAAGTAAAAAGATTGATGTGGTTAAATTTTCAATAAATGTGTCTGTATTTTCCTTTTTATAAGCTACATCACAAGATTATAAGTGGATTGATACATAGCGGCATGGAACAGATTACCATGTAGTCATCATATTACACACCTTCGTCTCAAAATTCCCTGAGCTTTGCTAAAATCTCATAGTGCAGCTCCTCACTGGCATGTGACATCTCCTCTGCCTTGCTTACTCCAAAAATTTCTGCCCATGCATTATTTATGCCGAGCTAAACTTTCTTGTATATCTCCCACGGTTGGGATTTTGCAGGAGCTCCAGAGAACACTGCCAGCACTATCGCATGCAGACGGTCTGTCACAGAGTCGCCTTTGTTTTGTGTTTCATTGTGCAGTTGTCCCAGTGTAGACACTGCACAAATTCATGTTAATCCCTCTCTTCTTCTCCTTATGTATTCTTTATTCTCGATGATGATAATAATAATAGGTATTATGAAGCATATAAAGCATAGCATACAATGTTTGCCAAAACCAGATGAAAGTCAATGCATTTTATGAGTTTATGGCCCTTTTAATTTGTTACAATTATTTCTAAATGTTCTTTCGATCAATTAAAAAGTTGATCAACCATTATTATAACAAATAATTGATTACCTAATTAAATAATTCTAACAATGAAATGTTAAATAGGTTTCAAATGCCTGCTTTATTAGCCTTTAAAGGACTGCAAATTAAAATGTAAAAAAAAAACAGGCATCCCCTTTATATATGACATTAAGCTC